GTATGACTCGTCCTGCTCCTCTCCTCCACCTGTGTTCTGTTTTCCTACCATCCTGCTTGATCCTTTTTTTTGTTCCCTAGGGTTAGCGTTAGTCTACACTAACACAAGTGTGTGCGCGTGTGCAAGTGTGTGTGGAGAGTATGTGCGTGTGCTTGTGTGCATGCGTGTGTGTGTGTGTGTGTGGGGCAAGAGTTAACTAGTAGAGGGATGGCGTGAGGGAAAGGGATGAAGGGAGGGAGTTAGGGAGAGGGAGGGAGTGGGGGGGGGAGCCAGGCAGTGAGTGGGAGCAAGAAAGAGCGAGGAAGAGAGGGAGAGCGATGGAGAGAGGAAGAGCGAGGGAGAGCATGGGAGAGAGGAAGATAGAGGGTGAGCGAGGGAAAGGGAGAGAGAGAGGAAGAGAGGAGAGCGAAGGAGAAAGGAATGAGGGCTATCAGGAGGGTGGGAAGAAGGGTCAATCTTGCTAGTGAGGGGTGAGGTTGGTGGTTGGGTGTGTATGTGTATTCACCTAGTCGCATTCACCTAATTGTGATTGTGGGGGTTGAACTCTGCTCTTTCGACCCGCCTCTCAACTGTCAATCAACTGTTTCTAACTACTACTACTACTATTTTTATTTATATTTTTTCCCACATCACACACACACCCCAGGAAGCAGCCCGTGACAGCTGACTAACTCCCAGGTACCTATTTACTGCTAGGTAACAGGGGCAAAGGGTGACAAAAAAATCTGCCCATTGTTTCTTGCCGGCGCCCGGGATCGAACCCGGGAACACAGGATCACATGTCCAGCGTGCTGTACTCTCGGCCACCACCCCCCTCCAACCCGATGACTGAAAACTCCACACCTCAGAAGTGACTCGAACCCAGACCACCAGGAACACATTACAACTCGGGTATATGGTACCTTAACCGCTTGACCTTCAGTGACCATGGTGTGTGTGTGTGTGTGTGTGTGTGTGTGTGTGTGTGTGTGTGTGTGTGTGTGTGTGTGTGTGTGTGTGTGTGTGTGTGTGTGTGTGTGTAAGTATTAACCTAATTGTATTCACCTAATTATGCTTGAGGGGGTTGAGCTCTGCTCTTTCAGCCAGCCTCTCAACTGTAAAACAACTGTTACTAACTACTAATTCCCTCTACCCCCACACACCCAGGAAGCAGTCCGTAACAACTGTCTAACACCCAGATACCTATTTACTGCTAGGTAACAGGAACATCAGGGTTAAGGAAACTCGGCCCATCTGTGTCTACTGTGTGCAAGGGATCGAGCACCGGTCCCAACGTCCACGAGTCTAGAGCGCTGTCCGCTCGGCCACCCAGCCCCTTACTCGGCCACCCAGTCCCTGTGTGTGTGTGTTTGTGAGTGAGTGAGTGAGTGAGTGTGTACTTACCTAATTGTGTCTGCAGGATCGAGGATTGACTCTTAAATCCCGCTTTTCGAGCATCGGTTGTTTACAGCAATGACTATGGTCCTATGAACAAATCCACAAGGGCTTTGACGAGGATTCGAACCTGCGTCCGGGAGCATCCCAGACACTTCCTTAATCGACTGAGCTACGACAGGTAATGATGTAAGGGCGAAGAGGGAGAACAGCCTATTGACATAGTTCGGGAGTAGGGGGAGTTGTGTAAAATCCTGGTTTGTGCCTCGGAGAGGCTACGGGATCCAGTAAGTCCAGTAGAATTTCGGTTTCAACTCTTTTACCCTATCGTAGCTCAATCGATTAAGGCAGTGTCTGGGTTGCTCCCGGACGCAGGTTCAAATCCTCGTCACGGCCCTTGTGGATTTGTTCATTTGATGCATCACGTTAGTGTGATCTGTGTGTGTAACTATGGTCCTATTTCCCTATCATACCTGGTTTTAAAATTATGAATAGTATTTGCTTCCACAACCTGTTCCTTAAGTGCATTCCATTTTCCCACTACTCTCACGCTAAAAGAAAACTTCCTAACATCCCTGTGACTCATCTGAGTTTCCAGCTTCCACCCATGTCCCTGCGTTCTCTTACTATTCCGTGGAGAACATTTCGTCTATGTCCACTCTGTCAATCCCCCTGAGTATTTTAAACATTTCTATCATGTCCCCCCCTCTCCCTTTTTCTTTCTAGTGTCGTAAGGCACAGTTCCCTCAGGCCCTCGTAACTCTGGGACGAGTCTCGTTGCAAACCTCTGAACCTTTTCCAGTTTCATTATATGCTTTTTCAGATGGGGACTCCATGGTGAGGTGGCATACTCTAAGACTGGCCTCACGTAGGCAGTGTAAACCGCCCTAAATGCCTTATTACTTAGGTTTCTGAATGCTGTTCTAACTTTTGTCAGTGTAGAGTACGCTGCTGCCGTTATCCTATTTATATGTGCCTCAGGAGATAGATTTGGTGTTAAGTCCACACCCAGGTCTCTTTCACGCGTCGTCACAGGTAGGCTGTTCCCCTTCATTGTGTACTGTCCCTTCGGTCTCCTATCTCCTAGTCCCATTTCATAACTTTACATATGCTCGTGTTAAAACACCAGCAGCCATTTCTCTGACCATCTCTGCAACCTGTTCAGGTCCTCTTGGAGGATCCTGCAATCCTCATCTGTCACAACTCTTCTCATCAACTTTGCGTCATCCGCGAACATCGACATGTAGGACTCTACTTCTGTAAACATGTCGTTAACATAAATTAGAAATAGAATTGGTCCCAGCACCGATCCTTGTGGTACTCCATTCGTCACTGTTCGCCAGTCCGACTTCTCACCCCTTACCGTAACTCTTTGGTTCCTTCCTGTTAGGTAGTTCCTTATTCATGCTAGGACCTTTCCTCCCACCCCCGCCTGCCTCTCGAGCTTGAACAGCAGTCTCATGTGCGGTACTGTATCAAAGGCTTTTTGGCAGTCCAGAAATATGCATTCTGCCCAACCATCTCTGTCCTGTCTTATCCTCGTTATTTTATCATAGAATTCCAAAAGGTTTGTTAGGCACAATTTCCCTCTCCAGAACCCATGTTGATGTTTGTTTACAAACCTAATGTTCTCCAGGTGTGCAACCAGTCGTAGCCTAATTATTCTTTCAAGTATTTTACTGGGGATGCTTGTCAGTGATACAGGTCTATAGTTACGTGCGTCCTCCTTATCGCCTTTCTTGAAGATCGGTACGACATTTGCCTTCTTCCAGCAACTGGGCAATTCTCCCGACATAAGTGACTCATTAAAGATCATTGCCAGAGGCACGCTGAGGGCCTGCGCTGCTTTTTTTAGTATCCACGGTGATACTTTGTCTGGTCTAACCGCCTTTCGTTGCATCCAGTGTTGTCAACTGTTTTATTACCTCCTCTGCTGTCACCTCTATATCTGACAATCTTTCATCTAGGGTAATCTCTTCCAACAATGGGAGCTGCTCAGGCTCGGTAGTGAACACTCATAGGAACCTGGCATTCAGTGCCTCGCAGATTTTCGTGTCACTTTCAGTATATGCCTCCTCTGTCTTCCTTAGTCTTGTCACTTGGTCGTTCACCGACATTTTTCTTCTTATATGGCTGTGTTGTAACTTAGGTTGCTTTTTCGCTTAGATCGCAATATCGTTCTCATAGTCCCTTTCCGATGTTCGTCTTATGTTAATGTAATCGTTCCTAGCTCTGTTGCATCTGATCCTGTTGTTCTCTGTCCTTTGTCTTCTGTACTTCCTCCACTCCCGCCAGCTGGCCATTTTTGCTTCCTGACACTGTCTATTAAACCATGGGTTATTATATTCCCTCTTATTTTTTTCCGTTTACTGTTGGTATAAATCTCTCTTCGGCCTCCTGGCATTTCTGTATAACTAGGTTCATCAAATCTTGGACTGTTTTTCCTCTAATTTCTTCCTCCCACTGCACTTCTCCCAGATAGTCCATTATCCTCCTATAGTCCCCTTTCCTGTAGTCAACTCTTCTTTCCCAGACCTCGTGTCCCATGGTCACAAGTTTGAATTCCATCATGTAGTCAAAGACTGGGACACAATGATCGCTGGCCCCTAGAGGTATTTCATGCTCCAAATTATCGCTGTCTTTTACGTTCTGGGTGAAAATCAGGTCTAATAGGCTCGGTGCATCTCCTCCTCTTTCCCTTGTGTCTTCCTTCACATGTTGCGTTTGGAAATTCCTGTCTATAACATCTACTAACTTTGCTCCCAAAGTTTCGTCCCTTCCATGATGATTCCTTGATTCCCAATTTATCTCTCCATGATTCAGGTCCCCCCATGACCAGCAGCTTCGCTCTCATTCTGTGGGCTAGTGTTGCTGCCTTCTGCAGTTCATCTATGCATGCCTTGTTGTTGTCATTATACTCCTCCTGGGGCTTCTACTGTTTGGAGGGGCATTGTAGATTACCAAGATGACAATCTTCCTCCCATCTGCTGTCAGAGTTCCATGTATGAAACTTGTGCTATCATTGGTAACCCGATTTCCCAGGTCTTCAAACTTTCATTTCTGCTTTATTAGGAGTGCTATTCCCCCTCCCTCTCTCTGTGTCCTCTCTCTCCTTATCACCTGGTAGCCCTCTGGAAAGATTGCATCTGAGATCATGTCATTAATTTTAGTTTCCACAATTGCAACTATGTCAGGATCTGCTTCACTCACTCTTTCTTTTATCTCTTCTGCTTTATTAGATACCCCATCAGCATTGATATACCAAACCTTGAGATTCTTCATTGAAACTCTTGTACCAGAGTTCGCCCTTTCTCTGGGGGTCTGGGGGAATCTGGGGGGGGGGGGTGTCTGGGGGGTGAATGGGTGTGTGTGTGTCAGTAAGGAAGTGATGTGGTGGAGGCGGACTCCATACACAGTTTCAAGTGTAGATATGAAAGAGCCCAGTAGGCTCAGGAACCTGTACACCAGTTGATTAACAGTTGAGAGGCGGGACCAAAGAGCCAGAGCTCAACCCCCGCAAGCACAAATAGGTGAGTACACTCACACACACAAACACACACACACATGCACAAGCACATGCAAACACGCGCACACACACTGCTGTCTCTGCAGTACAGGAAATTGCCATGAAAGTTGCTACTTTTCTGGAAGCAGCAAGATTCCCTAGCCGACTGATAGAGCAGAAAAGAGCAGTAATCGTAGTAGGTATTAGGGAGAAAATAGTGGCCAGTCAAGAGGAGAGGAGAGATATGGACAAAACCACAGTCAAAGAGATCATTGAAGGGGTACAGATGGAGAGGGATGAACAGAATATAGAAAAGGTTTTCAGGCCTGGCCAGTACAACAAGGACAGAGATCGAATGATAAATGAGGTTTTCAAAAGCGAGGACACAAGAGAAGAAATTTTAGCAGAGAAAAGCAGCCTATTCAATGTACTGAAGTTCAAAAAGGTACTCCTGCAGAGGGATATGACCAGGGAGGATAGATTCAGGGCAGCAGCAACAAGGAAGGAGCACAGGGAGAGAGACAGGAATCGGGAACCACACCCGAGAACCCTACGAACACAGAAGGGAGTGGGGAATCTTCCTCAAGCAGTTCAACAGCCCCAGTGAGAGGAGGATAACACCCACCTACCATCCAATAGAAGCCCTACCTGCCCCAGGCTCTACAAGCCCGCGCCCCCCTAAGTGGCCTCCTGGACTCCCCTCCCCCCACTCCCCCCTCCCTCTCCTCAAGGCCTTCCCCTCTCAACCCCCTCCCCACAAACCATTCCTACTTCCCCAAGCCCTCCCTTCTCCCCTCCCCCCCAAAGCCAACTCTTTCCACCCAAGCCCCCCTCTTCCTCCCCAAGCTCTCCCTCCTCCCCCCCCCAAGCCCTCCCTTCGCTCCTACCCTCTCCAAACCAGATCCTCCCAGCCCCCCTCCCCCCCCTCACAACACAAATCCCCCCCTTTCCCCTCCTCATCCCTTACCCTCCATGTTTACGTACTCCAGTGGAATCAACAGAAACTGAGGATGGACAGAAAATAGTCAGCTTCAAGGTGATGTACTCGAATATTGATGGGATTACAAGCAAGGCAAGTGAATTTAGGGAAAGAGCACTGGAAGTAAATCTGGATGTAATTGGACTCACAGAAACAAAACTCTCAGGAATCATAACAAATGCGGTGTTCCCCCTGGACTACACTGTAATAAGGAAAGAGAGGGAGGGTGGGGAGGAGGCAGAGTGACCTTACTCATGAAAAAGGAATGGAGTTTCAAGGAGATGGTTATCCAAGGCTGTGAGGGGTTTATAGACTACTTAACTGGCACCATGACGATGGGAGGACCAAGAGTAGTAGTAGCAGTGATATATAACCCTCCACCAAACGACAGAAGACCCAGGCAAGACTTTGACAGAAACAACATGGCAGTTAACAGTATAATTGAGAGAGCAGCCACTGCTTCCTGTAAAATTCTATCCCATCTGCTCATCATAGGGGACTTCAATCACGGAAGGATAGACTGGGAGAATAAGGAACCACGTGGAGGAGAGAAAACATGGAGAGGTAAACTACTAGAGATAGCAATAAAAAAACTTTTTAAGCCAGCATGTCAGGGAACCCACATGAATGAGGGGAAACAATGAGCCAGCAAGACTCGACCTAGTCTTCACTCTGAATGACTCCTACATAAGGTAAATTGACTTCGAGACCCCAGTAGGAATGAGCGATCACAGTGTACTGACGTTTAAAAATCTCGTAGAAGAAGGGTTAAAAATACTCGAGGAAGGGAACAGAAAGCAAAAGTCTAACATTCCGAAAAGGAAACTATGAAGAGATAAGTAAATTTCTAACGGATATAACATGGGAAACAGAGCTCAGGGAAAAGACAGCTCAAGACATGAGGGAATACATCACACAGAAGGGTGATGAGGCAGCAGATTAGTTTACCCCTGCCCAAAAGGAAAATAAGGAAATGCAGATGAGAAACCTATGGTTTAATCAGATAATTAAGCTAGCTAAGCAACTAAGTAAAAGAGCGTGGAGAAACTTTAGAAATAACAGGACACTTGAGAGCAAAGAAGGGTACCAGAGAGCCTGGATTGAATACGTCAGGATAAGAAGAAAGGCAGAATGGCAATATGAAAATGACATAGCAAGTAAGACAAAGACTCAACCTAAATTGCTGCACAGCCACATCAGGAGAAAGTCAACAGTGAAGGAACAGGTAATGAAACTGAGGATTGGGGCAGACAGATTCACTTCAAACGACAAAGATGTGTGCGAGTAACTCAATAAGAAATTCCAGGAAGTCTTCACAGTAGAGCAAGGAGAAGTTCCAGAGATAAGAGAAGGAATAATTAACTAGGCCACACTAGAGGAGCTAGAGATTACCAGTGGAGATATAAGCTAGCTTTTGCTAGAGTTGGATGTGACAAAGGCTATAGACCCAGATAAAATATCACCATGGATATTAAAGGACGGAGCAGAAGCACTTTGCCCGCTACTTTCCATGGTGAATAACAAATCACTGATAACAGGTGAACTGCCAAAAATTTGGAAGACAGCAAACGTAGTCCCATTATACAAGAAGGGGATAGACAGGAGGCACTGAACTACAGGCCATTGTCCCTAACTTACATACAATGCAAGTTAATGGAGAAGATTGTGCGAAAAAGCTAGTGGAACATCTGGACCGAAGGAACTTTGTGACACAACACCAACGTGGTTTCAGGGATGGCAAGTCATGCCTCACAGGATTAATTGAATTCTACGATCAGGCAACAAGAATCCGACAAGAAAGAGAAGGGTGGGCAGAGTGCATATTTTTGGATTGCCAGAAAGCTTTTGACACAGTATCACACAAGACACAATTGCGAAAGCTGGAGATGCACGCTGGATTGAAAAGGCAGATACTCCATTGGATACGGGAGTACCTAAGTAACAGAATACAGCGAGTCACTGTGAGGGGTGAGACCTCAGAATGGCGAGGCGTTACCAGTGGAGTCCTGCAGGGTTCAGTCCTCGGACCTATACTGTTTCTTATATATGTAAATGATCTTCCAGAGGGTATAGAAGCGTTCCATTCATTGTTTTCTAATGATGCAAAAATTACGAGGATTAAGACGGAGGAAGATAGTGTGAGGCTACAAGATGACCTAGACAGACTGAATGAATGGTCCTACATGGAGCCCGTACCTTGTCAAGCACAAGGCAAAGCTTGAAAACGTTCAGAAGTATACCACTAGGCTAGTCCCAGAACTAAGAGGCATGAGTTACGAGGAAAGGCTGCACGAAATGCACCTCAAGCAAAACTAGGTGAGTACAAGGGTCACGCAGCTGAGCGGACCGCGCTAGGGGGGGGGGGTCGTAGTCTTAAGAGCCAGGGTTCTATTCCCAGCCGAAGCACAAACAAATGGGCAGAATTTCTTTATCCATGATGCACCTGTTCACCTAGCAGTAAATATGTGCCTGGGAGATAGACAGGTGCTGCAGGCTGCTTCCTAGAGATGAACTCACCTAGTTGTACTCACCTAGCTGTGCTTTCGGGGGTTGAGCCTACTGGGTTCTATCATATCTACATTTGAAACTGTGTATGGAGTCAGCCTCCACCACATCACTGCTGCATACCATCTGTTAACTACTCTGACACTGAAAAAGTTCTGTCTAACGTCCCTGTGGCACATTTGGGTACGCAGTTTCTACCTGTGTCCCCTTGTTCGCGTACCACCCGTATTAAATAGTTTATCTTTATCTACCCCAGTTAATTCCTCTGAGAATTTTGTAGGTAGTGATCATGTCTCCCCTTACTCCACTCCACAAACAACAGCAACAACAAACAACAACAAACAACAACAAACAACAACAACGACAACAGTGACACGCTGTGGTCTTAGGGAATAATGAGACAACGTTAATGAATAGCATCAAATAATGGTATTAAGAACAATAAAGAATAAATATTGTAAAAACAGTAATGAATTATATTAAACAAAATATTAAAATAAATAATATTTGTAAGAATATTAAAGAATAATAAATGTAATAATATTAATGATTATTGACATTAAGAATAGTAATGAATAATAATCATGCAGGCGATGAGTCACAATAACGTGGCTGAAGTATGTTGACCAGACCACACACTAGAAATTGAAGGGACGACGACGTTTCGGTCCGTCCTGGACCATTCTCAAGTCGATTGAATAATAATCATAATAATACAATGTATAACTCGCATTATGATCAATGGCAGCGATTACAACTATGGCAAATAACCAAAAATGTTTACTGTAGAATTAGTTGATCCCAACCGTTAATGGATCGGTTGTTCACCCTTAATGAATCAGGACCTCCCACCTATGGGCCCAGGTGGCTCCCTCCCGCCCGGGACGAGGCCGCCAGCTCACCTGTAATTACCCTCAGGTCTGCTATTCAATTGCCTCAATGAGGAGCGTAAGCTTAATCATGCCCACCACAGCGGTTGGGCGCCGATTAACTTAGAGATGGCAGATAGGCAGTTCAGAGCCTGCGTTGGAACAACATTATATATATATATATAATGTATATTCAGTTGCATATTGTCCTGGGGACCATTCAGGCTTGTTCGCATATATATATATATATATATATATATATATATATATATATATATATATATATATATATATATATATATATATATATATATATATATATATATATACATCGTCATTATAAGAAGCCTTGCCTCTGCTCAGTGTCCAGCGGAGAGAGAGCCCCGCAACCTACTGAAACGTGACTGTTAGCTTTGCCGGCCGACCAGACGGAATCACACTGCGACCGTGGAAGGGTGGCAGACAGTTGGCATGGGACTATACTTGTGTATCCACCCTGGCAACCACATACATCAACCTCTCTGCCGGCACAGCAGGGACCGTGGCGACACACAGAGAAAGAGACAAGTCAGCCAAGAACAGGAAATTAGATCATCGGTACAATTTCCTTCCAATAGGGTCTGAGACACTAGGCCAATGGAAAGAGAGTGCAAAAAGGTTTCTTAAGGATCTTGGTTCCAAGCTTACTGACACCACAAGAGACCCTAGAGTGGCAAGTTTTCTCTTTCAGCGCCTCAGTGTCGCGATCCAGAGGGGGAATGCTCGCTGCATCCTCGGTTCCTGCCCGGCGTCTGAGGAGTTCGAGGAAATCTACAGCCTCTAGGAAGCGAACTTTTTTTTGTGTCCTCTTTATGTTAATTTTTTGTATAAAATCAGATATTTAACTGTATAACCTTGCATAATAAAGTGTACACCATAAAAAAGGGGGGTGGTAGGAGAAGCGAACACTCTTACGTATTCAGAGTTAAATGTCAAGTTTTGCCCTGAATGTTGTGTTCCCTTCTCTGAGGCTGTGGGTCCCTATAATTGCACCGGAGGTGGTATATATATATATATATATATATATATATATATATATATATATATATATAT